TAATAAAAAATGTGCTGCCAAATAGACTTGGACTTGTGGTGACCTTTTCTAGGATTTTCTAGGTACACAGACTCAGATTTGGTTTACCTGCTCCTTTCTTCTGGGGGTCTTCTGGGACTTGCCCAAGGCCACACAGGCTGGCTCTTCTCCCGAGAGGCATGGGGGGAATCAAACTCCCAGCCAGGAAGCAATTCAGTGAGCTATGCAGCCATCTGATGCCCTTATTAGGCCAAGTTAAAACTGAATTGAACTAAACTCTAATGAAATGAAATGGGCACGATATTGTATATAAATTTGTGAGGTTGATAACAACATTCTCAGGCATGGGGGAAAAGAAGCGGGCAAAACCATAAAGTCTTTATGTCCTCATTCTGTTGCAGTTCTGATAGTGGGGGAGAAACAGGCACCAGAAAAAGCTGTCCGGCATACATTGATTCAGCAAGGCAATACATAGGCTCAGAGATATTTGCATACCTACTCAGAAACTTCCCCTTTGTGTACACTGAGTTTTGCCACAGGATATGCATTTATAATAAGCATTTATTTAGAAGCTCGACACACCTCCTTCCTGTAGCTGGGTCCTTATCACCTGCATCCTGTTATATTTTGCTATGAGCCAACAACCAATATTTTCTTTATTGATGACAGTTTTGCACAAATATAGATGCCGGATGGTGGCTACAGCAGCAAATTCAAATCTCTGTCCATGGTCCTGTACGAGAACAGACTGAAACTGATCCCACTATGTTATTTTCCTCTGCACTTCTTTGAGTCCAAGCGAAGTGTTAGTTTCTTATTTATTTATTATTCTGAGTTCTATACTGCCCCATCAGTGCAAACACTCTCTGGATGGTTCACAGTGTATTGATACACTCATACAAACAAACACAGAGAATGCAATAAATAAAATGAACCCCCACCTCTAACTGGATTGATAAAACCTTCATTTAAATGAACTAAACACATTTAAAACAAAATTGAATATCCCAGGTCAATTAGATAAAGCACCGGTAGAGGATTAACAACACCTATTGTTGAGCAACTGCATTGCTCAACGTTTATCTTTTATAATTTGCTATAGTACTACTTGAGGGGCGTGGTGGGACTGCGGGTTAAACCGCAGAAGCCTCTGTGCTGCAAGGTCAGAAGACCAGCAGTCATAAGATTGAATCTACGTGATGGAGTGAGCTCCTGTCACTTGTCCCAGCTCTTGACAACCTAGCGGTTTGAAAGCATGTAAAAATGCGAGTAGATAAATAGGTACCACCACAGTGGGAAGGTAACAGCATTCCGTGTCTAGTTGCGCTGGCCACGTGACCAAAGAAACTGTCTTCAGACAAACATTGGCTCTATGGCTTGGAAACGGGGATAAGCACCGCCCCCTAGAGTCAGACACGACTGGACTAAATATCAAGGGGAACCTTTACCTTTACCTATAGTACTACTTGCCATCTATATGGTGCTTCCAACTTCTACAACCCATTAGAAAAAAAATCTTCCTCTTTCTCTTGTAGAAGCTTTCACAGCATCAATTAGCCACAGATTATATCACAGCTTCTAAAGTTCCTTTTTTAAAAAGCCAATAATTCATATTTTCCTTTTAGAATTTGAAGAAGCAATAGTTAACAATTTCATTTAAGTAAAATAAAAAAGATATACAAATTTACCCATCATATATGTAGGTAGCAAGGATGCCAGTTCCTTGTACAGCTTTGAGGTTTTTATTGCATTCTGAAAATACCAGTTTCTTAAAACCCATGGCAGTCTATTAAATATATATATATATATATTCAAATGGCTAAAAGCATAATTGACTTAAAGATAGGGTAAGTAGATTTATAAAAGGCAGAGTTTTTTGAGCTATCAAATGTTGAAGAAGTCATTAGTGCCATGTGCCATTAAAGGTACCTGTAACATATTTAGGTTATATTATGTCTTCATGAGAATATGAAGCCTCTCCCGACCAAATATCTTCAACACGGCACCTAGTGATGAAAGTAATTTTGTCTCTCCATTTAGACTTCATGCTGTAGTTCTGATCCATTTTATTCATTATTCTTCATTGCTGTTTGCAACATTGGAGGGCATTTTTCACCCCAGTATCTTGATGGATGAGTTTCAGGGTACAAAAACTAGTATGCGCTGAATAATAATTTTATTTCCTTAGACTTATCTTTTCTTTTTGTCTTCTCCCATTTCAAAGGCAGCCAGGCAAGGGGCGGTAAATTATCCCATTATTATTAACTTACTTTTTCTGATCTGAACCAAAACTGAAATCCTCTGGCAGCTGAGGCCGGCTTCATTACATTAGAATTTGGCAAACAGCAAACCTACTTCCATTAGAAGTGAGAGAAACCTCTAGTGCCTGTATCCATTCAATAGCCTTTCATCATACTAAAAGTACTGATATCACATTTTAGGGAGTACCTGCCGGTCCCAGCAGTTTTAAACCTATTGTTAAGGCAACTTTTCACTAAGAAAATTCCCCTGAGTCGTCTTGGCCGTTACCAGCATAGTTGTTCCAAGTTCAGTTGCCGGCACTGGAAAAGCAGGGCTGCGTTCTTCATTGAGGGGAGACCGGGGAACAACTTCAGAGGCATCACTTCCTGCCTTAACAATATGGTACATGTTCCTCATTAAAATTTCATCACCAGCAGTGTTTGAAGTGCCATTTTCATGTGGGCATTTAAGTAGTCCAGGAGCATCATCTCCTTGCCCGCAGCTATGGTCTTCATGAACTTCATTTTCAAAGGAGTCCTTATTTTCTAAAACAAAAAATAACTTAATGAGCATTGCATATGCTGTGAAAGAATTCAGATAAGAGGCTTTGGGTAAAAATATATCTTTCGGTCCTATTTTTTCACTTTAGAGTACATGTAAGAAAACCGGGAATAAAATAAAAACCCTCCTCTAAGGAAAGATCTTTCCATATTGAATCTGAGTAGCATGCAAAACATACAAAAGACTGAAAGAGAACATCAGGAAGAACAGAACACACTATCCCTCAACTTTGGATACCTTACTGCCACGATTCTTACCTTCTAAATATTTTTCTTACAGATTTCTTTTTTTTTTAAACCGAGAAAGCCCCCTTTTGCCCTCAAGTGGCCAGAAAATTTGGGGCAGAGGTGTTGGGATCCTAGAAACATGTTGAAATTCTTTTCATGCTCCCTAGAGGGCACAAGGGGACCTCCGAGCTCCCCCCCTCCACATATTATTTTCACAATAATTTTTCAATTACAGTGGAGGAGAGTCCTGAGGTGTCCAGAAATGCTAGAGGGTGCCTCTTTCCCACATCTTGATAGATTTTATGATTTTATAGTTAAATTTGGCTTTACTTGCCCCCTGCCTTTTTTTTTAAAGATTTTAAACAGATGTTGGATAGCCATCTGCTGAGGATCCTTTAGCTGTGGATACCTGAATTTGCATAGAACTGGCCTAGATGACACCTGAGGATTCTTCCAACTCTACAGTTCTATGATCCTGATTTCTGATGTTACAAACAAAATGTAGATGAATATGGAACCTGAACTTGAACAAGGTCACATCCACCACAAATATCTGTTGGGGTTATACCTCTTTAAATTCTTCCCACTTTCTCCCTCCAACACAACATGGATGTGCATCTCTAGAACCCCTGATCCACCGTAGTGTCATCTCCCACCACCTGAAATACAACTCCCACCCCATTCTTGAAACGTGGTGGGGTGGCAGTTGTAAAAAACCATCCCCCAGAAAATGAGCACCTCTCTTTAAAACAAAGTACGGTATGTAGAGAATGTGTGCCTTTTTCTGAAGTGTAATAGTGCTTCTACCAAGACAGTTAACTGGCTTCAAAACAAGGTGTACTTTCCTTGCGTGCTGTACTTTAAAGTGGAAGTGCTAATTTCTGAGTTAGCATTGCAACTGAGGCATGGTAGCAAATTTAAAAGGCAAAGGGATTCAACCCCAACCAGAGCAAACCCATAGAATCAATGCAATCGTGTTAATGTAACAATTCTTCCTTATTCAACGTGTCTACTGTTCGTTCATTTAGTCGTGTCCGACTCTTTGTGACCCAATGGACCAGAGCACGCCAGGCCCTCCTATCTTCCACTGCCTCCCGTAGTTATGTCAATTTCATGTTGGTTGCTTCGCAGACACTGTCCAGCCATCTCATCCTCTGTCGTCCCCTTCTCCTCTTGCCGTCACACTTTCCTAACATCAAGGTCTTTTCCAAGGAGTCTTCTCTTCTCATGAGATGGCCAAAGTACTGGAGCCTCAGCTTCAGGATCTGTCCTTCCAGTGAGCACTCAGGGTTGATTTCCTTTAGAATTGATAGGTTTGTTCTCCTTGCAGTCCAGGGGACTCTTAAGAGCCTCCTCCAGCACCACAATTCAAAGGCATCAATTCTTCGGCGGTCAGCCTTCTTTATGGTCCAGCTCTCACTTCCATACATCACAACAGGGAAAACCATAGCTTTGACTATTCGGACTTTTGTTGGCAAGGTGATGTCTCTGCTTTTTAAGATGCTGTCAAGGTTTGTCATTGCTAGTTAGGACTAACAACTGGATTTAGCTCAAAGTCACAGCATTTTTGCTGCCATGGCAAATTTAGTGCTGACAGGCATGCATGGAGTCTAATGGAGGGAGGAGCTACATTCAACCTACAGCCAGTGTGTTGCCCATGATTGGACTAGATCAGGGATAAGCTAGTTCAGTGAGGTTGAAGAATAATTATCTGCTCTCAGAAGCCACACACAGACACTTTTCAAAATGTCAGAAACGTGGAAACAGAAATAGCTAGAGGTACACAACAAGATTTGACAACTTGGTATTTTGGCGTAAGGGGTCCAATGGCCTAGTTAAAAAGTGACTCTGCATTTCTAGAAACTTCTGCAATTCATTTTGCCAGGAAAAACAAAGGCCTTGGAAAAGGCTGAGGTCCACAAATATAGCCTTTGGGGTGAACTTTGCTCCCCTGAACCACTTGAGAATCTTTATAATGGATTCAACTCTCTTATTAGAAAAAATGGTAACTCCTACCTTTAGGATCTTCCTCATCTGCTTTTTTCATCCTCTTCTTTTTCTTTTGTCTCAGGTTTGTTACAAGCCACAGCACTGCCAAGGCAAGGATTAGCCCCACAAAAATGTAGAGACCAAAGGCAAGGGCTGAGCAAGTGTGATCTTCAGTAAAAGGTCCTGCTGGTATACGGGTTGTAGGGTTGGCCACTCTGAGAATAGTGGCTGTGGAGAAAAACAGAGACAGACATGGGTAATTTCATCAGAATACTGAGTGGTAGCAGTAGTAGCAGCAATTGTGTTTGGGGGGCACCAGAGCCAACTGGGTTTATTTTAACTTTAGGACAGACATAATCAGGGTTATTAATTGAATAATTGTTTATTTAATTACAATTATACCCACTCCTTCTGAAATTCTTACTAAAAGGATAGGGTTCCTCTGTCTCACTTTGGCCTCATTTTGTTCTCACAATAACTCTTGAGGTAGATTAGGCTGACTGGCCCAAAGTTACCCAGGGAGCTTCACGGCAGAGTGAGGGTTTGAATGTAAGTCTTCCTGATCTTCCTCCAACATTCTGAGTGCTGAAAATTTCTAAATAAAACCTCTTTATTTAGAAGCTTAAGCTCTTCCTAGGAGCCACTTCTGTGCATGTCCTACCATCTCAATTACAACAAGTAGCCAGTCTGTTGGGAGCCTTCTGGGATTTTTTTATCCCACAGTTAGGTTCCCTCCCCATGGAATCACTTTTTCCTTTTTTTCAGGAAAAATATTTTAATTGTCTATTCCTCTGCAAAATAGGTTACTTACAGTGACTCACACTCAGGTATTAAACATTTTAAAACAGTAAGCAATAATACAGAACAAAGCAATACAAAAATTCAATGACAGTCCTCAAAGGGGGGGCAGTGAGCGTAGAGTTTGACAAAATTAGTTTTTTGGACTACAGCTCCTATAATCTCAGGATTTTGAGAGCTATAGTCCAAAAAATCCTAGCATTTTAAAGTTCTAAATGAACCATGTTACAAAAATATCACTTGTACAATGCCTGGGCATGCCCACAGAAATTGGTTGATGGCTTTCTTTTGATAGGAAAATCCAGAGCCCCAGCATGGCTATTGAAAGGTTTCAGCCTGATTAAATGCTCTAGTCTGGACCATGATACTTAAAACCAACCATTGCAGAAATATCTGTGAACTGTTGACTTAGCAGTTGCTCCACAAGCTGCTGGTCTTGAGATAGCTCTATGGTAGCTGATTTTAAGATTTCACATGTAAGGCACTTCAGGAACTTTGGAAGATGCAAGAGGATTATTTTACTTTAAAGAGAAAAGGCCCAGGACTCTACACATTTTATACTAAAACTAATTAAAATGTCTTGTCAAGAAAAATAAAATGCAAGCATATTTGCGTCATTTTTCAAATCTAGGACACTTGCTCCCTGTTTAGCCATGGGGTGGGGAAAGATCTATGTAGGGCACTAACACACAGCTCAGTCTGTGCACCCGACCCAGCTGCCAAGGTTTCACCAGGTGTAGACTACACATATTCATATGAATATTCACAAACAAGAAGGTGAGAAAGTAAAAATGAAAGAGGAAATTGTCAGGCTGCTGCTAATTTGTGTACCAGGTACCGACATCTGCCCGTTGCATAGTGCAACCATGGAGTACACACACTTCAGATTAACTAAAGCATATAAAATCTAGTGAACAGACTCGAGAAGTGTGAATAGGAAGCAGCTGTTTGGCCTTTCAAACAGAATTAGAAATGGAGGAGAAATACTGAAACAGATTTGCACCATCAAGTGCACAATTAATTATTTACCCTCTGTCATTGTTACAACTAAATTCTGCACATTCTTGTTGCTCTGTATATTTTTGTCTTCTTTCTTTTAAAAAAACTATTGAAGGAATTTCTTTAAGATATTCCAATATGCAGCATTTCCAAGGGCTGCTAGGCATGACACTTCGTGACGTTATATACGACAGTGTAAGAATGGTCCTTTCTGCTTCACTCTGCTTGGCTCATTCCCACTTTTGCAAAAACACTGCAGCAAATGCAAACAAAACACCGGACTTTGGTAGGTACTAGGATTCATATTTAGGATGTAATCAACTGGTTATTTGCGGATAACAAAATGCCTCTTTTAATTATTATTTAGCAGAATATTATTCAGGAAAGACAATCGTTGGGCTAACATACCTATTAACCTGTTTATATTTTTAAAATCTTGTTTCTTTTAAAGCACATACAGGCACATAGATTCAAGGTAGCTTACAAAACAAAATAATTGTTATTTTAAAAGTGTTACAGTATTTAAAAACATGAAATATACATGTTTTAAAATGCTACATGTTTCTCCTTATTTAGTCATAGGGAGGGAACAGATCTAGATAGGGCACTAACATATCGCTCAGCCTGTGCAACCCACCTGGCTGGCCCACGACTAAAGAGGAAAAACATGTAAAATTCTAAAACATGTATGTTTCATGATTTTAAATAACATATAAAACATGTTTTTAAATAACATGTTGAAAATTAACATTTTCCTTTTTAAATAACAATTACAGAACACAATAGACTAGAGGACAATTGAAATACTTTTCAGAACTAGCAGTCATCAAGGAAGCTGTCTTAAACAATGGAAATAAAAAGGGCACAATTCCTTTATTTAATACACTTTTTTAAAAAAATCAGGTGCCTAACCAATAAAGTGTTGGAGCTGGATGGATTGAGCCTGGAACGGTAATCCAGAAGTGGAGTACCACTAAAGAAAAAGCCTTGCTCCTCATGGTTCTTACGATTACTTGCAGCCCATTGTCTGAGAAGGAAGAGGGCTTTGGGGCTAAGACACTCCTCTGATGGCACAGCTGCCAGAAGGAAGACACACAAGTAAATTGTTATGCAATTCAGCATTACAAGATTTAATGATAGCTAGCACCCTGGATGATTTCCAAAGGAATTAGACAAATTCATGGAGACCATCAATGACTGCTAGTCATGTTGGCAAAGAGAGAGAGAGAGAGAGAGAGAGAGAGAAGGCAAAATATTTGGCTTTTGTAGACTAACTGATTATTTCAGTGTGAGCTTTTATGGATCAAAATCCACTACTTCAGACACGAGGAGTACAAATACTATGTCCTCTATATTTATATGTATCCTCATTGTACTGGGAGTCATGACCAGGTAAGACGATGTGAGAGTGTTTCAGTAGCATACAAATGGAACTATCAAGCTTTTAATTACTTGAGGCTGCAAGCTCCAGACAGGGTGATAAGCTACATGCTAGGTCGCTCTGGCCATCACAGGAGTAATGAAAGTCCTTTCTGGGACAGAAGTCAGCATCTGTCAGGGGAGACAACTATGTCCAGAAGATATTACAGAAATCTTAATGTTTGTTGTACACTAAGACAGTTTGCTCCAATCCCTTCACATGCGTCCTCCCTTATTTCTTAACTTTAAACTCCCACTCTTGGATTAATTTTTAGGAACCCCCCCCACACACACACACACAGAGTGTTTTCACGTATATTGCTAAACCAAGATTTCCACATGGAAATTGCATGGTGTTGTGGTAAATACTTCAACTTAACATCTCCTCTGACTATCATAATTCCCTACATTTGAGGCAGAGGCCTTTCCCAGCACCTTCTTCCTGGTTCTTTTAAAATGCTGAATCCAGAGGTTGAACTAGGGACATTTTGGAGACACAAATGTTCATAAATACTAGAGCTTCGAACAGTGTTTTTTGGACAACAACATCCAAAATGCCTCAGAAAACAGGGCAGAGCTGTGGTTCAAAAGAAGTAATTTTTTTTCAAGTTCTTACGCTGCTTTATGGTCCCTCGGCTTTGGGTCTTGGAAAGTGCTTGTGATCAAAGTGGGGGGGGGCACTTCAGTCCAAAATTTCAGGAGGAGGTTATCCCTACTACTCACACTGTGAGCTGCCTAAGACATTCTGGTTAAAACAAAGAACTACTGTGAATAGCAAACTCCTTGGTTGAAGTATCACCAGTCACACATCACATGCTTTTAGCCAGGCACTGGTGTTCCACTTCAGCATCTCCTCCTGCTCGCGTCGTCTCATAATAAGAAGCTCTATAGCAAATCTACAAACCAATCCTTGGGGGATGATATAGTTGAGGGAGCCAGGTATGTTTAGCATGGAGAAGAGAGTACAGGTGTTATGACAGGGAGCTCTCTTTAAATGCTTAAAGGACTACCAGACAGAAAACAGAACAAGGTGGCTTTCTGCAGTATCAGCAAGTAGGAATGGAATCAATAGAGGCAATTTACAAAGAAATGGGAGTTTGGCTAAAAATTAGGAGAAATTTCCTAACAGTAAATGCTATTCAACAGTGAAATGCACTAAGTCAGAAAGTAGTCGGCTCTCCTTTGTTCACATTTTAAAACAAAAACTGGCTCCATCTGCCAAGGATGCTTTAGCAATGGATGACTTGCATCACATGTGACTAGACTACATGAACCTCATGGTCAGTTTTATTATTCTAAGTGAGACCATTGGTCTGTCTAGCTCAGCGCCATCTGCATGGACCAGCAGCAGGTTCTCAAACATGCTTCCTTGCCACCTGACAATAATAAACATTGAATCTGGGACATTTTGCACTCAGCATTTTATCGAGATAAACTGTGTTTGCTGAGATCAAGAAGTTTGGTACTTATTTACAGCATGCTCTGATAGCCAGCCTCAATCACATGACTTGCATAGCAAATGCGAATTTCCCAAGGTCTTCATGGGTGCCACAGTCTACACATAGGAAGGTGTGGTGCTGAGCAGCCAGAGTCTCAGACGCCTAGGAATTTATTTTTTGCTGGGACAGTTTCTAAAACATTTGGTTGTATAGCAAGTACCCAGCCATGAATTGTGGAAATACCCACAGACGGGAATGCACCCCTGGGTTCTCTCTGCTCCGCACATCAACACTGTGACGTAGGTTTCTTTTTACTTGTCCCTCTTACCAAAATTCCTATTTTACAAACAAGAAACTGGAAATGACAAAAGCAGAGACCACTAAAATAGTGATTTGAAAGTCAGCTTCTCAAAAGCAAGATAAGAGCCCCTCGATGCTCTTATACTGTATCTGGATGAGAGAGGACTCTTTCCCCCCGCTCCCCCTGCCCCTATTCATTAGTCTAATCCACTAGATCTGTTTCCATTGCTATAGGATCTAGTTCTACTCTTCCTAATAGCTAAAGGCACCAATTCCACCCCTCCTTCCTTCCAAGAGCCACCGAAGTTGGGTTTTTTCCTTTCCTTACTTGGTTCTTTTTCAGTGCCTCTCTGCATCTCTTTGCAGCTCACACATTTTTCGATCAGGCGGTCATAACACAAGCTCCGATGCTGGCAAGTGGTGTTCATGCTGGATGGGCTGCTTCCGTTCTTCCTCATGGTTCAGGGTCTTTAAAATAAATAAATAAAAATAAAAGAAACAGATTACAAGGACATAACTAGACAGCAAGTTATTCAAATATTGTCCAGATGAGAAATCATTGAACCTTGAGGTCTCAGTAGAATCAGCACAATTCCCTTGAGGCTTTGCTTCCTCCAAGAGGCCTTTTGTCAGACTGCTAGCAGTGGTGCCGGGGGAGAAACTTGCCCAAGCAACCTCTCTCTCATTCTGCAACTCCCCTGCCATTCTCACATTTGCTGCTTTTGTTGCAGAGCCCATGTGAACCTATGCCACATAATATGCTCAGTTTATTCCATTTTCCATTGATATTCTCCTTCTTAGAGGAAGTGTGCATAGTTTGAAAAAGTTTCTTTTTTGGGCAACCACTCTCAGAAAAAAAATCTCTTATGTCATAAAGTGCCAAAGGTGAAAGCTATCCAAAGGCTATCCAGTCAACATACATCCTAAACCTGGGTCTTGAATCTTGTCTTTTGCCCTCATCCATCCTTCTTCCATAAGGCTTTTGCTTCCTTTTTTGTTCATGTTTGATAAAACACAGCTTGTCATTTCATTTAAAAAAAAACCCAAACGGTGGTTAGTCTTAACTATGGTTTGTTTGAATCAAGTCAATGAAAATAATAGGTTATAAACAAGAATAACCACCATTTAAGTTTCCTATGATAGTTTAATGCTATCTTTACATTTATCTTTATAATTCAATTAAATGCTAAAGTGACATGCTTGAGGAAGGAATGTAGGAGCACAAGGCTTATATGAGCCCAAATCTCACTTCAGGTCATTTACATCATAAGAAACCATAAAGATGACCTCTATATAGATTAACTATCATTATCCAGATTAAAATATCACTAGATGCATTAGCTGCATTCTTCCTCAACTTTGGAAATATTCATGAATTCCTCTTCTTAAAATCATGGAGACAGAACGTTCAGTAAATGAAAAGGGAATGAAAAGGGGGAACATCCACTTAGGAGAAATTTACATGAAAGCCAATGTGGTAGAGTGAACAGTATGTTGGAAAGGGCTCAGAAGACCTGGATTCAGATCCTCACTCAACATGGGAATTCATAGCATGAGTGGTATGGATAAACTACTCCTTACTCCATCTCACATAATCCTATTAGGATTTACAAAATCCTACCAGGGTCACCATAAACTGGATTGCACTTAATAAGAATAATTTATGACCAGAGACAGGTTTTATATTATACTCTTTATTTCATTGAATAAATAAAGGATATTTTCTTTGTATTAAAGGTTTTAAATCATGCGACTATGTGCAAATATAATCAAGTAATCTTTTAAAACAAGGTAAGTCATCAACCTAAAATCTTTAATCAACTACAAGCTTATTCATTACTATTTATTTTGATCATGAAATTTTTTTGTAAGAAATGTCATGGGTTTGATAAATGAAATTATTTGTTAGGCCAAATACGACTGGAAACAATTAACATTACATTATTATTTTCTCCCAGTGAGATCGCAGAACATGGTTTTACTGACCATAGAACGCCAAATATTTCATCTCACTGCAATTATATTAGAAGGCATGATTTCTTTTCAGTACTGTACTTGAACTTGGTCAGGTGGAATCATACATCCCAAATGGGCAATTGTGGTGGACAAGAAATTCAGGAACCATCGGCTCTGCTTAGATCATTTGTCCTTATAATTGAGAATTTACCCATCACCTGTCAAACCAGGCTAGACAGAATGTCTGATTTGCTGTCTGGCAAAACATCTGGAGTCTGAATCATACCCGGTTACATCTTCTTGACTACTCTCCTCCTTTCTTCACTGCTATCCCTCTAATCTCCTGCTTCTCTTTCTGCCAGACTGTTGAGTGTGGTTCTGTGAAACACAGTGGCCCTGGATGGAAATATAGCATGGCATCAAAAGGACAGAAAACAGACCTCTGGAGTTTTCTCACCAGCCCTAATACTGAACTCCCTTGATATCTTTGGAAATCTCATGAAAATTCCATGCCTGCTTGAAAGAGTAGAATGAAGAGGAAGAGGAAGAAGTTCTTGTCAGAACGATCTTTAGTGGTGGTGAGCCTATGCCTTCCAACAAAATCTGGAAGTCCATGTATTACCGTATCTAGCTGGGCCTTGAAGGAAATGCCATAGTTACAGGGGAAGGTGACTGGCTTTCCTGAAAATGTTCCAGGCCCTTTTCCTGAATTCTCAGGTGCTCACTCTAAATTACATGCTACAGATCTAGCCCATATAACCTCAAGACTGAGATATACTTTCCCTAAATCAAAGTTGTAAGTCCACTTCAGTTTTTATGGCAGATATGTAACAAGTAAAATTACTGTGATCCAGTTGAAGAAATACCAGTCTATTAATAAGATGAATTTAAATAGATTCATTAATTAACTCTATAAAAAGTTCTATATGCATATTCTGTTCTGAATACCTTTGTTTTTTTAGATGATGCATGCAATAGTCATCTTTTTAAAAGCACTCCACCATCTCTATTGCACAGAACAGAATGTCCCCCCCAAACTAGTATTTGTCATCTCTAAAGCTTTTAATTGAACTTATATTAAAAGCAATATTTTAAAAATAATCAGTTCTGCAAAATTACTCAACCAAATTAATTGAAGAAACTTAGCTTGGTATTGCTTTGAGGCTTGTGTGGGCAGGAAAGTGATTAAGAAATACTTTAAATATAAATTTATTTATTTATTTAGGTGACCCAAGACGGTTCACATCAACTCAAACTATACAACATCAGTAATTTTAAAATATCATCTAAAGTGCCATATTAAGAACAGTTAAAGATATAGCAAGATTAAAAACAATTTTAAAACATTTTTTAAAAATTAAGTCTCCAAGTTTAATAAACAGCATTCTTGTGACACTTATTGCTTATAAACCTGCCTGAAAAGGAAAATCTTTGCCCGATGAAAAGGCAAGATGGAGGGGGCCAACCTGGTTTCTCAGGCCAGTGCATTCCAAAGCCTCTGACCAACCACTGAGAAAGCCCTCTCTCATGTCCTCAATAAATATACAGGCAAATAATAAAGAAGTCTACTGTTGTAGTACACTAGCCATTGCAAAGTTGTGGCAGATTAGACTAGATAATCATTACAATCCCTTGCAACTATCCAGTTCTGTGACTCTATGACCACACTGTAAGACAGATGCAAACTTCTACATACCTCAAAGGGTCCTCCTTTCATGTAACATCGTTAGAGAGCAGTCCTGCATATTAAAAAGAGGTAAAATGAATCAAAGATAAATGTAAAATCCTCTTTCTTTCACTGCCCCCTAAAACCAGTCCTCTGATCATGTTTTTGTTTCCTTTTCTCAACAGGTGGGAAACCCTAGTTTGGTTTCATCGAAGAAGTCAGTTATATTGTGTTCCACGTGTTTCTCTCTGTTTCCAGCCTCCTGCACTTTGCCTCAGTGTTTTTTCTTTCCACACCTATATTTGCTTCTCTGGGCTGAATCGTACTGACTCAGTTATTCCTTGCAAGTATTGGTCAGATTATACCAGTGCAGCCAAGTGTTTCTGATTGTGACCTGGATGATCCTTTCTCCTCTCCTTCACCGTATTTCACATAATCTAAATCTTTTTGTGGGTGGGGGATTAAGTTTGGGTTCACTGGACTATTCTCTTAAATGTCCCCATCATTGGATGTGTAAACCATGATGCCTTTTCCCCCCCACTTATTTGTACTGAAATCAGAGTTGCACTTACGGTTTTGACCAAGTCTTATTTATGAGAATTTTACTGTAACAGAGACATATTCTTTATATACTCCTGCCTCCTCATTAAAATTTACTATTTAGATTTTGGTTAGTAATAGTTTAATGAGTGAGACAAAAGAGCCCCAGAGAGAACAGAAATGAAATGGCTTCCACCATATGAGGGGTGGCTAATTGCACACAGAAGGAAAAAAAACACAACAGGATATAAGTGCATTGTCCCTTTGCTCAGTAGGTTTAAGCCAAAAGACAAAAGCCTCTGAAGGAATTCTTGTTTGCTAATAACAATCTAGCTTCAGTAATGTGTTGTTCAACAACATGGAGCCGATAAGGGTGGCTGCCATCCATTTCCTCTCCAGCTGTCTCTTTTAATCTATGTATCCTGGTCCTGCCAACAGAACATTCCTCCATTGTATGGCTTTGTGCACACACTGTGCCACTTAATAAAGCAGAGGAAAGAACCAGGTCCTTACCCAGAGAGCTGACCATCTGAAAGAAGCAAAGGGAAATAACAGAGAAAGAGGGGGTGGAGTGGCAGCGAAGCAAGGGAAGAACGTGTGTTTATTCCCATTACCTGTTTATTGTTTGACTTAGTTATAATAAAAGGCAGGGACCAAACTACTGTAGCCATTTTGGCCAGTTATGGCCATTTTGGAGGTGGTGCAACTCAATCACAGAACACCCCGGTCCTGAGACATTTGATGTTTGGATTCTGCCAGAGTGAGTCAGATCATAGGCGGGCAGTACACCTCACATAATGATCAGCTGCAGTGCTTTTTACTGAAAATGTGTGTACTACAGAGGGGGTGGTGAACCAGTTCTCACTGCCTCACGTGTCCTACACAGGCTGGCTTGTCTTCTGAGGTTTTAAAGCTTTCCTTCCTAGCTTTCTCACTGTTGGCTTCCGTTCCACCTTTGTTCTTATCTCTTAATTACCCATCTTATATTTGTGATATTTAAAATGCAGGAAGATGATGAGTAGCCTCCTGTTTCTGTTTCTTCTCTCCATAAATATTTACAATGACCTCTATGTTCCTGAAAGTGCAACTACTGTAGAGGTCTCACGGCGAAAGTAGAAATGGCAGATGGCATGTCATTAGAAGCCATGTTATTGAAAAGCTATTGAGCAATCATACTTGCAAAGGAAATCTATACTTACCTGACGGTGATCAATCACATCAAACAAATTTAAGATCAATGGGAGGTATGAATAACTTAAGTGCTGAACATATCTGATCATCATAGCAGCAATGTTCAGTACTTAAGAAATTCCCTCTTCTAATGATGAGCTATCTATAATGCATAGTTTGGCCATTATATGTCTAACAAGGTTCTCGCTTATGTCATTAGCAATTCTTGGTTTTTATATAAAAAAGTTGCCTGAATTTGCAGAGTAACTTCCAGTTTACAATCTACAGAAAGGAAAAAAACTTATCAGGGGAAACAAGATAATGCAAATATCTTTTAATCAGGCAACTACAGATCTCCATATATTTTGCATTCTGCTTTTCAAGGGTCTAGCTTCTCACTTATTTACTTGCAGGTTAAACATGCATCCTTAAATTGAAAGTTGGTTTATTAAATACTCTTTAAAATCCCTGTGAGCTGAGATTTTAAAGAGCCCTCTGTTCATCCCCAGCTCTGCTTTTATGATTCATTGTAAAGCAGATGGGCTGTTTAAAATGTTGCACAGTGTTAAGGGTAAGGGACAATTTTCCAAAGTTCTCCATAATGTATGAACACATGCATGTACGTAGCCATCCTTAGTTTGCTGGTTTCTGGACTGCCTCTTTGCCTTGGCCTGCTGAACACATGCATACATTTGCAGAAACATAGTAGTCACTGTAGTTCCTTGGAACTGTTTCTATTTCATAGTGAGAGTTTGGTTTTTTTAATTTTTAAATTAAAAATACTTAGGGCAACTAGGGAAAAAGATTGCAGGGGTGGGCATCCCTGCTGTTCAAAACATCACACCCAGCTTAGTCCGTCACCAGAATACCATCCATATCCCCCTCCTCTTGGAGAAAATACAACTGATTGCATGGTGAAAATTCTGTTCAAATTATTTCATCTTGAAAAACCCTCGGTGGCAGAGAGAAAAAACCTCTGTGTCAGAAATAAAAAAAGACTGGATTGATTTGAATTGGCCTTTGTTTTGTGTGATCAGTTTTTAAAACGGATTACAATATTTGACTCTGTAGTCACAACTTCTGTGGGAATTTTTCTGAACAGGGAGTCAAAACTACATAGCCATTTCCACACACATAGTACAAACTACTATTATAACAGTCCATCTATCTGTGCACAAATCTAATGATTAGATTTAGGCAGGAAGGCACATGTGAACACCCAAACACTTGCCTAAGTATTTTCATAAGCGGGTTGATGTGACTTTTGATTCTAACTGATGTGTAATATAAATGTAAAATCTAGATTAGCTAGAATGTTCCTTAGTATTACAAATGATTCCTCTGCTTTTTCTTCTGCATTAACAATGATCAGATATTGACATAAACCATGTTAGAGGCATTTTGAGGCTACAGTCCTTTGTACTTATCTAGGAATAAGCCCCATAAACAATCAGACTTATGAGGAAACATGAGTAGGATTTACCTATAAACCTTGCAAATGAAAATAGTCTAAATCTCTGACACTTTGAGAATAGTTTCATTTTCATAAATGAGGCTTAAACTAGCTTTGGCTTGAATTGGACTTGAATACAAATGTAAAATCTTGAATTTTAATTAGATTTTCCGCTGCATTTTCACATGAACAGTGTTCATGCATAGCCCAAACAGGAAGAAAAATTGATGTATTAATTTTTTTACTACAATGTGTGGCATTGTTTAAGAGTGCCATATCAATGCTCTCCCCAACAGACAAAAAGCAGGCAGACACAATGCAGTTTTGCCTCAAAAAATGCTGCCCAAAATAAGCGCCTATGTGTCAGGCTTACATGCATCATGTATTTGCTAACAGTGTTCATGCATAGCCCAAACAGGAAGAAAAATTGATGTATTAATTTTTTTACTACAATGTGTGGCATTGTTTAAGAGTGCCATATCAATGCTCTCCCCAACAGACAAAAAGCAGGCAGACACAATGCAGTTTTGCCTCCAAAAATGCTGCCCAAAATAGTCATGTATTTGTCGCAGGAACCACCAATGTTTCTCACAATCTTGGTATTGTGGATGAAGAATTGCCCTAAATCAAACCCCAGAGAACATGGGTGGGAAAAGCTCCTCTCTCTCCCCAGCTCATTGAGGGGTGAATTCCCTTGGGGGGAATCTGTCAGCAGATGGATACTGGTGATGGGTGGGGCCAGAGCCGCAAGTGGATAGCCCATCAGTTATTCTAAATGTTATGATACATTGTGGTGTGTCTGCATATGGGCAAGCATTCTCTTCTCTCCCTCCTTCTGCCTCCACACTGTGGTAACACTAATGTACAGTAGTTTGGTGCCAAATTCATCTCCATTCCCAGATTAGAAGATGTTGAGACTTTGGGCCTTTCCTGATTATAGAATGGGCCGCAAACCTATCAGAATGGGCTGAATCAGACTCATCCTTTACGTCCAACCAAGAATTGTTCCCAGATAACTTCCATAGTCATCAGAATGGGCTGAATCAGACTCATCCTTCGTGTCCAACCAAGAGTTGTTCCCAGATAACTTCCATATTTTTAGCTTCCATATTTTTATTTTTAGCTGAGCATCTTAGGCAAGGACCTTACCCATACAAATGCTCCCAGGATATAATCATCTCTTTCCCCCAAAATGCCCTTTAAACAATAGCTCTCAGACTGTAAAATGTAGGATCAATATCTCTGTCCTGTTAAGCCTTGTGAGAAACAGAGTGCTGAGTTTAGAACGGGCAAAATACTTACCCATACAAATGCTCCCAGGATATAATCATCTCTTTCCCCCAAAATGCCCTTTAAACAATAGCTCTCAGACTGTCAAATGTAGGATCAATGTCTCTGTCAATAACCTATTCTGTGAATCCCGTTAACCCTTGTGAGAGACAGAGTGCTGGGTTTAGAACAGGGTGGGCAAAATATGACACTCCAAATGATCTGGGATTGCAACTTCCAGCATTGCTTTCCATTGGCCATGCTAATTAGAACTAATGGTAATTTTAATCCAAAAACATTTGGAGGACCACACTTTGCCCTCTCCTGACCTAGATAGGTTCTTATATAGCAGCCTTTCCCAAACTGGTACTTACACATGTACTGAATTACAACTCTCATACCTACTCCCCTTTTTGTTTTAATTTCAAGCACCCTGCAGATGTGAGCCACTTGTTTACAAGGACATGATCATTGCCACTTGCACATATGGATCTTGTGACTGTGCTGACTGTGGATGTTGGGAGTTGTAATTCAAGATACCTGGAGACTGCTGGGTTTTTAAAAGCCATTTAAAAACTTGGCTCTTTAGGCAGGCCTTCTCTCCAGTCAATAACTGATCTTTATTCTTTGTCTTTTAAATTATTTCATCTTGGAAATGATCTAAAATAAGTGTTAAAATTACGATGTTTTAAATGATTTTTTAAATGATATTTGTTACATTATGATGTTTTCATGTGTGTAAGCCGCCCCGAGTAGACTTTGTCTAGGGGTGTGTGTAAAAATCTAATAAAGTAAACTTTACGATAGAGCTTCGTGGCGCAGTGGTTAAACCGCTGTACTGCA